AACGTTGACAGAATCTCCCAAGGTGGTGGTGGGGTACCGGGGAAGCAAAAGCGGAACGTACGCACCGTGCGGGCGCAAAAGGCCAGCCATTGCGGATTGCAGCACAGCGAGTGAAAGAAGCAAAAGTGGTACGAAGACCCAACCAGCAAGCTAGGATCGACTCTAGTAAACACCGTGCTCACAATTAACCGAGCTTTGAAGCTCGCGTCTCATATTTACAAGCATGTAACACTTGGTTGGGTATGCACGTCCGTCATTGGTTCCGCCAGAAACGCACCCCAGCTTGTTACAGATTTTGTCATTCATCAACCAGTCACGGAGTCCAACCAAGTGTTAAACTTCACCAAGTTTAAAATGGGGAAAAAAATGAGACGCGAGCTTTAAGGTTTGGGTTAGTCGCATTGCAACCAATAGCACGAATATCAAATTGCACAATAGGCGCAAAATCTCGTTTGCAGTGGCGCTCTCAAGCTTCATATCAGTCATGCCGCACTCGCGGAATTCTCAATGCAGAAAAGGTATCCGCGTTAAGGTTTGTTCGCTGAGAGAGTTTTGGTCTGTAGTCACCAGAAAGAATACGCTGCAATATGCTATGAATTAGGATGTACTCAGAGTCGTACTCGGCGAGTACATCAATATAGTTAGGTACAGTTCCTAGACCGTATGAGAATATAGAAACGAGTTAATAGCAAAATATTAGGCCACAAACAAGGAATTTGAAGGGTGAGATGGATAGACCAACTTCATATTTATATTAAATATATATTCATAGCTATAGCCTTATGTAGAAAAAATCAATTTTATATAAATTGCTTGCTGCATAGCCTAGTGTAGTTATTACTGTTACAACTGTTGGTGGTGCACCTTGGCCTTGCTTGTATTTCTTCCCTCCTCTCATTTAAATAACCATCTTTTCTCTCGTAACTCCCCCGAGCTCCAAAACCTCCTCGAGCTACTTTGACATGGTATTTAGAGCCATAAGTTCCTAGGGCCTTCTCCCTCTCTTAACATGGCTGCCTTCCTACTCGTCGCGGCTTTGTCGAGCCCCGTCGCGGCCCTTGTCGCGGCCCCCGTCACGCCCCCCGTGAGCCTCCAGCGCCACCCGCCGCCGCCATGCCGCCCTGCCGCGTCTGACGCTGTGGGGGGGAAGCTGCAGGGTTGGCGGTCGTGAGCATACAGCACCAGCCGCCGCCCAACATGCCGCCCTGCCACGCTTGACGATATAGGGCGAAGGTTGTGGGGGTGGCGGCCGTGAGCTTGCGACGTAAGACGCAGTAAAAGGGGAGGTTGCAGGCATGGCGGTGGCCGTGATGAACGATGGGCACGCCCCTCTTCCTCCTCCTCCTCTCTCTATCTCTCTCTCTCTCTCTCTCTCTCTCTCTCTCTCTCTCTCTCTCTCTCTCTCTCTCTCTCTCTCTCTCTCTCTCTCTCACACAGTCCTGCATTGATAGGTTCATAGGGGTACAGGCAAGGCAGGGATAGGTGCTAGACAGGCCTAGACACTGAAGCAACCAAACATGCAAGGCAGGTACATGGGGCGGGCAGGGCATCTGCAAGCAGACCTAAAGAGCAAGGCAGGGCAGGCAAGAGGGGCAAGGCAGGCAGGCCTGGCCGGGCATGGCAAGAGCAACAAAGCCTAGCATAGAAAGCCCAGCAGGTAGGCCGACCTGAACTCATCAGGCTAGACCGTGTCCATCCCCCTCTACCCCTCTAACCCCCTCTACATGTCGTCCTCTAGGACCTGCCAAAGGTCCCCGAGGCTTGGCTCCCATGGGTCCTTTCCTGCCTGGATGAACGCTGCCTCGTCCCCTAGGTTTGACTTGTTCAGGAAGGAAGTGGCCTGGGAGCGCTGCAGCATGACAGACCATCGCTGTCTGTAGTGTGCTGTGAGCCTGGCCGTTGTTGTGGTGAGCCTGCCTTGGCGGAATTTCTTCTTTGCCGCTGATGTTGCTAGCAGGCGCAGGAACTGTTGTGTGTCCGTCGCCAAGGCACCGTAGGTCTCTACTGCCAGCCCAAAGAAACCTACATAGTCAGGCCTGCCCTCGTAGATTCTGTGCTTTCCCTCAGACGCCTCCCGAGCTGCCCACTCGGGTGGTTTTCTTGCCCTTGTGTCTCGTCGTTGTAGTACGGGGTCTGTTACTGTCACATCACCCACGTTTCATTGGATTCCTTGTCTCGAATGGCCAGGTCTCCTCTCTTCCTGATGACTGGGGGGGAGAAGGCAGTTGTCTCGTGGAAGACGGTGAAGTCAGCCTCCTTAGCCATCCTGAGTGCAGCGTGAACTAGAGCGTCGTGTGTTCTGACCACGTCCCCGCCTTCCCCGCAACGTAGGAGATGATTCGGGAGGCTCGTGTCTGTGATGTCTGAGTTGCCACGCTTGCAGGGGCACTTCACAGTGACTGGTAGCCTCATGCCTAGGCGGAATCCCAGTGCCAACGAGAACTGACCAGGGGCAAATGTAAGGTCAGTTCGGGTTGGCACAGCATGTAGCCAGTCCCCTGCTCCCACTCCCTGCAGGCTGATGAGGCGCACTGCATGTCCCCTATCCGTTCCCGGTCTGTCCTGGATTGTATCTGCCAGCAGCTCTGCCACGCGTCTCTCTCTCTCTCTCTCTCTCTCTCTCTCTCTCTCTCTCTCTCTCTCTCTCTCTCTCTCTCTCTCTCTCTCTCTCTCTCTCTCTCTCAAACAGTCATGTATTGATAGGGTTCATAGGGTACAGGCATGGCATTGCGGTGGTAGCTAACTGGTCTAAGCAAGGCATGCAAGTATATTGGGGCGGCAGCTATGCTAGCAAGCAGAATAAGAGCAGAAAGAGCACACCTCAAACCCAAACCGACGGACAGAAGACCCCAAGCCCTATCAACCCTGACAACCTCCTGCCCTGTGGCTGCGCCCTGAGTTCTCCCCCTGCTCCTACCCCTTGCCGCCCCTACTACTCCCTCAAACGCTCCATCCTCCAGCTCCTCCCCTCACCCCTCCACCATTCACCATCCTGCCGCCTCCCCACCGCCCCCTAGCTCCCCCCCCTTCCGTCTAAGGTGCCCTAGCAGGAGCGTCCCGCTCCTCATACTCATCGGAAGTTATCTGCCAGAGGTCTGCCAGGCGTGGGGCCCATGGGACCGCAGCTGCCTGCGGGAAGGCTGCCTCTGCTGCTCGGTTGGACTTGGACAGGAGGGAGATTGCTTGGCTGCGCTACAGCATCACCGACCATCTCTGGCGGTAGTGTGCCGTGAGCCGAGCAGCCGTGGTGGTGAGTCTGCCCTGCCGAAACCTCTTCTTGGCTGCATGGGTTGCTAACATGCGAAGGAATTGTACGGTGTCAGCCGCCATTGCCCCATAAGTCTCAACCGCTAGCCCAAAGAAGCCGGCATAGCTCGGGCGCCCCTCGTACAGCCGATGCTTCTTCTGTGAAGCCTCCTCTGCCGCCCAACCTGGCGGCCTGCGTGCTCTCACGTCCCTTTCCTGCAGTACCGGATCTGTGACAGTGACATCTGTCACCCAGGTTTCTCCCGATTCCTGATCCTGGATCACTAGGTCCGCCCTCTTCCTAAGGACAGGTGGTGAGAAAGCCGAGGTCTCATGGTAGGTCTTGTAGCCCGCCTCATTCGCCATGTGTAGCGCAGCGTACGCGAGGGCATTGTGCATCCGTACCGCGTCCCCCCCCTCCTGGCAGCGTAGCAGATGGTTCGGCAGGCTCTTGTCCAGAATTTTCGATCCCCCCCGCTTGCATGGACACACCTCAGCTACTGGCAGTTCCATGCCTAGGCGGAGGCCTAGGGCCAAGGAGAACTGACCAGGGGAGATGGTAAGGTCAGCCCTTGTTGGTACTGCATGAAGCCAGTCGCCCGCCCCCACCCCTTTCAGACTTATCAGCCGGATCCCGTGTCCCCTGTGCCTGCCTGGTCTGTCTACTACAGTGTCGCCCAGTAGATCTGCCGCCCGCTGCAGGTTGATCTGCTTCGATAGGCCCAGCTGCAGACTGCCTGTGCCCGCACTATCCGCCCTGTACCGACTGAGAACTGCCTGTGCTTGGGCTGGGAGGCCCTCCTCTAGGGCTGTCAGTGGGTTGAAATCTGGGGGGGGGGGGGGTCCAGTCATGGGCCAGCAGCGTGATGGACCTGCGTAGCAGGCAGTCCGAGGGCAGGTCCAGTTGCTGCAGAAGGGTGTGTGCAGCTGCTATCGAGGCGATGTGTGCCGCGGGTGCCTCTGAGATGGGGTCAATGATTCCCAAGCCGCCGAGCCGAATGGGTAGAGTCGCCTGGCGCCACAGGAGGCTCTGCTCCAGTTCCGACGTTGGGATGTTTAGCTTTGCCGCCGCAAGGGCCGAGCCCACCAATGCCTCACTCCAATCCCTCCACTCCTCCAAGCTCAGTGCCGTCGCAGGTGTCGTCCGCAGCAGGTAGGAGATGCGGCGGGAGATGCTGAGAGAGAGAATCAGAAGGGCCGCCTGAGGGTGGAGCTGGTTGATGAGGTGGAGTGGTGACGCTGCATCCTCGAGCGAAGCTCTCACTTGGCCGGTGCAGAATTCCCTGCTGCCTATCGGGCTACCCAGGACCCGAATGCCTCCTGGGTCAGCGGTCAGGCCCAAAGGAAGCTCCTCTGCTTCCCATCCCTGCATGGCGCACCACGCCGAGGACTTGGCGATGTTGCAGCGGAGTCCGCAGTCAGCGAGGTCACCTGCTATCTTCGCAAATGCCCTGCTCGCCGCTTCTCTTGGTCCGACTATGGTTATGTCGTCCGCATATGCAACCACGGCGACCTCCGGCATTGTCGCCGAGATGCTTAAGAGAGCCGGCTGAATGGCCGCCGCGAACAATAGGGGGCCTAAGGGATCGCCCTGCCTGACGCCTCGCGAGCTCGGAATGTGGTCGACTCCCAGGCGAGCATCGGTGAGAAGGCGCGAGGGGCCGTCGTAGAGGTTGCGGACGAGGGGGAGCAAGGGACTAAGGTTGGACCATTGGAGGGCCCCGAGGAAGGCCGAACGCTCAACGCTGTTACACCTAACTGGAGCGCAATGCGTGTCTCGTCCTCACGGAGTAGGGATCGGACGGAGTGAATGATGCACTCCGCTCCGCCTGGCACTGCTACACGAAACTGTACTGGGAGGAAGAAGGTCCTTATCTTAGGTCCTAGAGTATGTAGCGCTACTTTCGCCACTACGCGGAGCACCGCCTCGCCAATCGCTATAGGTCGTACTCCGCCGTTCGGCTTCTCTAGTGCGATGAGGCGGGAAGGTAGTAGCAGCTCTCTCACGTGACTGGGTTGGAAGTTACTGAGCAGCTGATTGACTACCTTGGCGAAAAGCTGCAGCAGCTCTTCGTTGGCCAAGGCAGGGTCTCTCAGGTGCTCGAAACAGGTGCCTGAAGGGCCCGCACCAACGCCGTTCGGGCACTTCGCCAATATTTCGCGTAGCGTGTCCAGCGGGACCGCTAGGTCTGAGGTGGTGATTCCGGTAACCCAGGCGGGGATCTGTTTTTCCGCTGCAGGATGTTTCGCTAGCAATGCCTTGAGTGTAGCTGTAGTTGCCTCGGCGAGCGGACTCGTTCGCAAAGCTGACACTGCTTTCGAAATGTTGCCATTTTTCAGTAACCCCTCCGCCCTAGCACAAACTCCTTCCTCGTCAGCCTGGTGTCGTACCGGGGCATCAGTAGCGGGTATGGCCCCTGCCTCTTCGAAAAGGTCAGTCCACTCGCCCCTTTGGAACCTGTGCAGCCGTGCTTCAATAGCTGCCCAGCGACTCCCCGCAACAGGTTCGGGCGCTGGCCTCAGGGTGAGCCTCGGCAAGAACATCAGCACTGTCCAACCCCCTGGGCAGCTTGGGTTTTTGTCCAGGCGGATGAGGGCTGCCAGCATGCACAGACAATATCTGTCCAAAAGCTGTGGTGGCAAGCGGCGGACGAGGAATGGCTGATCACTTCGCAGAAAAATGTCCACATTCCACCCCCCCGCCATGTGCCAGATGGCGTCATCGCTAGCCAGGTCGGCTGGCGATGGAACATCAGTGTCCCCCGTGGCTGCTTCTGCTGGGTCCGCTGTGGCTTGTAGGATTCCCCCCGCCGCTTCTCGTGTTTGTGGTGCTGGGTTGTCCCTCCTGGGTGGGGCCTCCTCGTCATCCAGTGAGATCTCCTCTGAAGCCTCGTCCTCCCCAGCCATAAACTCCGGATCGGCATCAACGTTGTCAGATGCCTCTGGTTCCTCATTCGTCTGTGGCTGCTCTCTCTCAGGCCTGGCGTGACGTTCCCGCCAAGGGCCCGTTCTAGCAGGGATCTCCGTTATGGGTGCTGCGTTGCACCCTCCCTTGCCTCCCCTTAGGCCCCCGAGCGGGTTTCCGCGATTCCCCCGTCCAGCCGTACCCGCCGCCCCCGCTCCTGCCATTGCGTTGCCTCCGCGGCCGGCCGGCATCCACGGTGTTCGACCGCCCCGTGGCGGTCCCCAGGTTACGGATCCGATCCTAGCTGAGCGTCTCGTGCCAGTCGTCGCTGCCACTACCACACTCGCTACGGCTGCTGCCGCCGTTGGAACCGCCGCTTGTGGCGCCCCGCCGGTACCGCTGCCCGAGCCCTCCGGCTCCTGCGTTGGTGCTACCTCTGTCGCTAACGGCGTCGCCGCCACCACCTCTGGCTCCTGCTGTACTGCCGCAGCGCCCCTCGATGACGACGGAAGCCCTGGCACTTGTGGCGACTGCCCTTGCCGCAGCCAGCCCAGGAGGGGTCCCGGGGGACCAAGTCCCAGCCCTGCTCCAGGCCGCCTCGCTGCTGGCTGGGCGCGGGGCCGCTTCCCCTTCTTCCCGCGGGCGGCGGGAGCGGCGACGCTCTTCCCGCGGGCCTGTCTTCCGTTCGCCACCTGGCCGTGCTCCTGCATTCCTGCGCCCTCGTCAGCAGCAGACGTTCCGGCGCACTCAGCGGCAGCCCTCATTTCCTCCGCGCTCGCTTAACCATCCTGCATTCCCACCGCGGCCGTCACAGCCGCAGCAATCACAGCCGCAGCCACCGGTGCCGGGGATGCCGCCAGCCCCGCCTCCTCCTCCCCCGTCTGTTCCGGTTCCGCAACCGGCCCCCGCTCCTCAACCAGCCGCGATGCAGCCTGGGGGGTGGTAGAGGGTGAAACTGAGCCGCCGTCAGAGGCAGCAGCAGTCCCGCCAGCACGGCCCGGGTCCACCACACACCCTGCCAACTGCACAGCAGCAGCGCCGACCTCAGGCGGCCCCCCGCCAGCAGCAGCAGCGCCAGGCACCGCCGCAGCTGCCGCCTCAGCCTCAGCCCTCGCAGCCTCCGCCCTCTCACCCGCCTCCTCGCCGTTGGTTTCAGCCGCCGTTGCAGCGCCAGCAACTTTTGTCAGAGGTCCACTGGTGATCCCCGATTGATCCTAGGGAAGGGTTACAGGCTCGTTGTCCTGGGGGGTTATGGGCGCACTGACCCGCTACTTAACAAGCCCTTTTATCCCAATGGTCTAGTGGTTGGGATTCTGACATGCTATCAGAGCGAAGGTCTCGGGTTCGAATCCCAGTGTGTGCACTTCGGGCATCCCAGTGCGGGGGGGTGTCAGAGGTCCACTGGTGATCCCCGATTGATCCTAGGGAAGGGTTACAGGCTCGTTGTCCTGGGGGGTTATGGGCGCACTGACCCGCTACTTAATAAGCCCTTTTATCCCAATGGTCTAGTGGTTGGGATTCTGACAACTTTCACCCTCTGTGTCACCCGTCCCTTCGTATTTTCCTCCCCGTGCCCCCCCCCTTCCTCAGGCTGGTCCGACCGCAGGCGCCTTCCCTTGCCTCTTCGTTGGTGGGCGCGAGGTGCCAATACCGTGGGGGCAGTGGACTCCTCCAGTGCCGCCGCCTCTCTCTCTCTCTCTCTCTCTCTCTCTCTCTCTCTCTCTCTCTCTCTCTCTCTCTCTCTCTCGAATGGGCCTTGCATTAATAACTGGGGTGTTACAAAGGTAGAAGCAAAAACATGCAGCAACATACAAACAAGCAAACAACCAAACAACCAAGCATCCTAACAACTAGCTGTTCCCCTACTGCCCCCCCTCTGTCCGGCCCTACTGGCCGAATGGGGGCTCAATCAGCTGGTGCAACTGCCCCTCGCTAAGGGGTACTAGGGGTCCCTGCATGCCTAGCTCGTCCGCCGCCAGGGCCTCGTTGGTCTTGGAGCGGAGGGCATTTGCCTGAGCCCGTTGGAGGCACACACTCCAGCGCTGGCGGTACTCGGTCAACAGCTTGGCGGCCTCGTAGGAGGTAGGGGCTGCATTGAAGCGTAGCTTGGCCGCCAGTTTTGCACACTGCCGAAGGTAGGCCATCACTCCTGGGGAGGGGTAGCCGTAGGTCTCAACTGCAAGGGCGTGGAAGCCCACCCACGCGTTCCGCCGCGCGTACTTCTCCTCCTTCCTGTCCGCTGCCGCCCTAGCCGCCCATCCAGGAGCTCGGTTGCAGTTCTCGTCCTGGTGGGACACGGGATCAGTCACAGTCACGTCACACATCCAAACTTCTCCTGTCAGGGGATGACGGATGGTGACATCCGCCTTTAGGTTCTCAACAAGAGAGTAGATGTAGGTCTCCTTGTGCACTGTGAAGCCCGCCTCCGCCCCTATCCTGGCTATCTCATCCCGAAGTGCGTGGTGAGTTGCTATCCTCCCCTTCCCCTTCTCGCAGCGCATGAGGTGGTTAGGGAGGCGGTCATCTGGGAATGTGGTGCGGTATCGGCAGTCACAGCGCCTAGGTACGGGTAGGGGGAGGCCTAGGCGGAAGGCAGCTGCGGTAGAGAGCTGGGAGGGTCCCATTCTAAGTGAGGAGATGAGGGGGACCGCCAGCAACCAGTCCCCTGCCCCCGGGCCCAACACCGACTGCATCCGCTGGGCATGGCCTGAGAGGGGATTGGGGCGCATTCGTCTAGCCCCGTTCATGACTCTGAGGAAGCGGCGGGTGTGGACAGCCAGTGCAAGAGCCTGCTGCAGTTTGAGGCCTTTGGGGTCCGACCTCCCCGTCTGTAGGGCTTCTAGTGCTTCCGGTGGGAGGGCTGCTTCTGCTGTTGCGAGGCAGGCTGGAAGGGCGTGGGCAGAGCCAGGGGTGGGGTCTAGTAAGGGCAGTAGGTTGGCTATGGCGGGGTGCAGTGTGTCAGCCAGGGAGTGGAGGAGGTGGGAGGTGGCGATTACTGACGCCAGGTAGGCATAGGTCCCTTCCACCGCGGGGTCTGTGATGCCGAGTCCCCCTAGGGTTACTGGCAACGCCGCCTGCCGCCATATCCGCCTTCTCTCTGCGTCGCTCCTTGGGGTCACGATGTGGGCCGCATTCAGGAAAGTCAGTAGCAGCCGTTCCCCCCATGCCGACCACTCCGCCTCGGGTAGCACTTCTAGTGGGGTGGTCCTGGCTAAGAAGGAGGCGCGGCGGCTGACGCAGCGAGTGAGGAGGAGGAGGCTTAGCTGGGGGTCCATCTGGGCTAAGAGGGGTAGTGGTTCCGCTGCTGCTGCAAGTCGTTCTCTAACCGCGCTGGCGCACCCCTGGGGAGTGCCGATGGGGCTTCCTAAGATCTGTAGTCCCTCGTCCGCGATGGGGATGCCAGGTGGCACGGCGGTGGGGTCGATATGTGAGGCGGACCATGCGGCGCACTTGGCGGGATTGTGTACTAGGCCGATGGCGGCGAGGGCTGAGGTGAGGTGGTTGAAGGCGGCGGTGCAGGCTGGGGCATCTCCGAGCAGGGTGATGTCGTCGGCGTATGCGAGTAGGACCACCGTTGGGTGTGCCGCTGCGGTGGCCGCGAGGCACGGCTGAATGCTAGCCGCGAATAGTAGGGGACCAAGCGGGTCCCCTTGGCGGACTCCTCTGGCGCTCTGTAGGGGGGCCGCGGCATAGTCAGCGTCAAGGAAGAGGGGTGATGGGGTCCCGTAGGAGATGCGGACGAGCGGAATAAGGGATTCTAATGCTTCGTTCCTGAGGCCCTCGAACACCGCCCCTCGTTCTACGGCGTTAAAGGCGTTGGCAAGGTCGATCTGCAGCGCCGCCGCGTCCGGGCTAAGTTCTAGGTATGTTCGTGCCGTGTGGATAGCTGCTTCGATCCCTCCCGCTATTGCCACCCCAAACTGGAGCGGAGCGAAATGCCCTCTAGCTGCCGGTGCTGTCAAGAAAAGGGCTGCCTTCGCGATTATTCGGAGCATGCACTCGCCTACCGCAATCGGCCTCGTCCCTCCTTGCGGTTTCGTGAAGGCCAAGAGGCGGGAGGCTGTGAGGAGCTCGGTCGCGCTTCCTCCCAGTTTCCCCGCTAGTGCTGTATTAGTGAGAGCTAACAGGTGAGTAAACACCTCCTGGTTTCCCAGGGCCGCATCCCTAATCTGCTCAAACGTGGTTCCGGAGGGCCCTGCTCCTACTCCGTTCGGCAGTTTGGCGATTAATCGCCTGAAGTCCTTTGCTTCGATAGCGGGGCAGTTTTCGGTGCGGTAGGTGTTGATCCAGTCTGGTAGAGCTTGCTGGGCTGGAGGATGCCTTGTCGCGAGTGCCCCCAGTACTTCAGTTGAGGCAGGCGAAACTGGGGTAGCCTGGAGGGACTGTAGCGATTTGGACAAGTTACCACGTTTCGCCAGTCCCTCCGCTCTGGCGAGGATCCCCGTGGTGTCAGGTGCGTGGCGAGGTTGGGGTGGGAGGGAAATCGCCTCGACCGCTTCGTCGTACAGGCTGGCCCAGAGCCCTTGGCGAAATCGCAGGAGGCGATTCATCATCGCCCCCCAGTCTGGTTTCCGTGCCGACGAAGTGCGTAGTAGAATTCGCGGGAGGAAGGTCAGTAACCTCCACCCCGCTGGTGACTCGGGATTGGCCGCCAGGTGGAGCAGGGGGGTCAGTAAGCACCCTGCGAAGGACTCGCGAAGGTCCTTTGGTGGGTGGCGGGCGAGTGGCGGTTGGCGACTGTCGCGGAGTGGGTCCAGTTCCCAGCTTGCGACCTGAGCGAACAGGTCGGTTCGTTTCGCCAGGTCGTCAGGCTTGAGCATGGGCGGCGCGGGAGTTGGTGCTGCTGAATTGTTATTGGCCGCGCCAGAGTTGACTTCATCTCTCGCCGCGGCTCGGGTTCCCCCCAATGTTGGATTTCCCCCCGCGTCTCGGTTTCGAAATGTGCCCCGTCTTCCCGCCGGGGCGCCTCGGCTGGGTTGGGTGGGGAATTCTGCTCCATTGTGCAGGAGCTCTTCTTCCTCCTCCGTCTCTTCGCCCAAGACCCCCTCTCTTTCAGGGTTAAATTCGGGGTCACCCGCGTCACTTTCAATAATCTCATTTTCCTCTTCCTCCTCGTCGCTAGCACCTTCCTCGCCGCCCCCTGCGGCCCCTCGTAGGGTCCTCTCAGCAGCCCTTGCGTAGGCGCTCGCGCCCGTTCGTCGCGTGTTCCCCCTGCCGGCTCTGCCTCCTCGTCTTCCACCGCTCCGCTGCCCCGCTCTGCCTCTGCCTCGTGATGCATGTGGCGCTCCGGGACGAATTCTCGTACCCACCCCCGCCCTTTGACGGGGCGTTTGCTGCGCGTGCGTGGTCGGCCTCATCTGCCTCTGTTGTGGCCTCCGCGGAGATGTCGTCTGTTCCTGCGCCGCCGTCGTCTGCTCCTGCTGCTCCTGCTGTTCGACCGGCGGCGCCTGTTGCGGATTCGCCTGCTGGGGCGGAGCATCCGGTGCTTGCCCAGGGGCTTGCGGATTCGCCTGCTGGGTCTGCCCCTGACCTCCCTCGTCCTGTTGCCGCGTCAGTTGACCCCGCCGTCCCGGCTGTGCTGTCTGCTGCCCCTGTCCCCCCGGAGCCGAATCTTGCTGGCGGCTCGTCACCGCAAGCGGCGTCTGCCGCCACTGGCGGACTGGCCCCGGTTGCGGGGTCCGGGGAGACTGTTCACTCGGCGCCGGGGGTTCAGACAGGTGTCGCGATCTCGCAGCAGCGTCGTCCCCCATCCCCGGACCGCCGTGGAGGCCGGCCTCATTCTCCTGCGCCCCGCGAGGAGCGGGAGTCCGCTCGTCGCCGGCGGGATTCACCTCGGCGTCCGCGTTCGCAGGCAAACTGGCCTGCCAATCGCGGCGGTCACGGCGGCTGGAGGGGGGGGCGAGGCCGCGGAGGGGGGTGGGTGTACGATCAGCCGGTGACGATGGCCGATTTGCAGCGGGTCGTCTCGCTGGAGATGCGGAGGGAGAGGGCTGGGCTGGCGGGTCCCCCCAGCTCGCCGCAGGGAGCGCCGCTGGCTGCGGTTCCTCCTCCTGTTGCTCCTCCTGCGGCTGCACCGTCGGCGGCCGCTTTTCCGCGTTCCGCCTCTCGTCGTTTTGCTCCGCCTGCCGCTGGAGCTCTCCAGCCGTTCCAGGCGTTGGTGGGTCCCCTTCCCGTGGCCGAGGTCCCTGAGGCGACGCTCGGGCAGCTGTGGCGCCTCTCTGAGGGCTTACGGGCGGTTCATTTGATCCAGATGTACGGTCAAGCGGGTCTCTCCCGTGGGAATTCTCTGGATGATGGTTCCCGAGACGAGTGTCTTGACGCCGCAGATCGCCTCGCGGAGCTCCTGGCGCCCGTGTTGGCTGCGCCCGCGAGGGGAGGAGCTGCCGGTGTTGGGCAGTTGGGGACTGCTGTCCGAGGTTTGCGGCGCTTCTCGCGCGCAGGGTCTGCAGCCGATGTGATCGCCGCAGGCACAGCTGTGGTGCGGGAGCTGCATCGCTCGCTGGCGGGGTTGCTTGCGGTTCTTGACGCGGACCAGTTGTAGCGTCCGCGAGTGCCTCCTCTCCATTTGTCTGTTCGCGTTGTCCCATTGTAGTCCCGTTTAGGTGCTGCCTGTTGCTGTCTTGTGTGTATGCCGGACTATAGTGGTAGTTGTTGCTCATGTTCTCCCTTGCGTCCCCTCACGCGCGGCCGAAGGCCGCGCTGTCGAGCGTCGGCCGCCGAAGGCGGCCGGCGCGAGCGAAAAATTCAGCCACACAACTGAATAATGAGAGACAAGAGGCCAAGAGAGGCCTCTTATACTTGGGAAGGAAGAGGGCAGAGGCTAAGGGAGAGGGCAGAGGCTAGGACCCTCTCTCTCTCTCTCTCGCTCTCTCGAACGAACGCCCGAAAAATTCAGCCACACAACTGAATAATGAGAGACAAGAGGCCAAGAGAGGCCTCTTATACTTGGGAAGGAAGAGGGCAGAGGCTAAGGGAGAGGGCAGAGGCTAGGACCCTCTCTCTCTCTCTCTCGCTCTCTCGAACGAACGCCCGAAAAATTCAGCCACACAACTGAACAATGAGAGACAAGAGGCCAAGAGAGGCCTCTTATACTTGGGAAGGAAGAGGGCAGAGGCTAAGGGAGAGGGCAGAGGCTAGGACCCTCTCTCTCTCTCTCTCTCTCTCTCTCTCTCTCTCTCTCTCTCTCTCTCCCCCTCTTCTTGTCACTCTTTTTCTCTCCTCCTCCTCGTCCCTCGCCAATGCACCTGCCGCCGTTTCACTTGCTGCTGCAGCTGCCGCCAATGCATTGGCCACCGCTGCACCTGTCGCCTCTGCACCTGCCTGCCCAAGCATCTTCTGCTGCGCATTTCTCCGATTCTGCCTTCTTCTGCTATGGCGGTATACCCCTTCAGGGGGTGTTCTTGCTCTAGTTCCTATTGCAAGCAGTTTAGGGGGTGTGTTATATGTATTTATTTTATAGAGACTGCAACTGCATAGCATAATGTGGTTATAACCGTTACAACCGTTGGTGGTGCACCTTTGCGTTGCTTGTATTTCTTTCCCCATCTCATTCTAATCAACTCTCTTTGCTCTCCTAAATTCCTCAAGCTCCTTAAACTTCCTAGAGTTACTTTGACGCATTATGCATATATGTTGTCCTACGGCTTATACGGACCCTGTTGGGTAACGTGATGATTTGGTTGCTCTATTGAACATACTTACCATATCTTTGGTACAAAAACCTTGTGGTGTACACTTTTTGGAATGAACTACTGTAAGGAAAGTTCCTTTTCCTTACTTCGCGTCCCTGCTCAGCGCATACACCATTGTGCCCGCCAACAACTCTCAACAGTGCACCGTTACCACTCGCGACACTCGCCTCGACCACTATTCCCGCCACTATTCATGACGTGACCCAACCTCACGGTTCGGTTGGTAACCCGCGCTCCGGACCTCCGCCTCGACAATTCCCAACCTCGGCGCTAGGCCCGTAGCGCACCCCATTTTCACCACATTACTGTTACCACCGTAGACTCGCTATATATTATTCGCTCATGTCTTCGCTCAATGTACTGTTTTGCTTCGATAGTGCAATTCTCTTTCGCTTGCTCAATTGCACTCGTAACACTTGGTATTCAGAGCCTACGATCTCCTCTCGGATCGCACCCACACCTTCACTTCCCCACTATCTCAATTTTTGTAGGGGGTAGACGTCTCTCAGTGGTCAGGCACCGCCGCTCGAAGTGCGCTCTCAAAAGCACGCACGGCCATGACTGAGGCTCTCGCTGAGCTTGCCCGACACCCCCGCCATGGCCGAATTCAATCTCGCGACACTGATGAAGGAGCAGCTTAACCGACTCGTGCGCCAACTCGAAGATTCGGCGCTCGAAATTGTGACACTCACGGCGGAACGCGACTCCGCTCGCCAGCAATCCACGGTGAATGCACCATCACCTGCAAATGAACATGTGCAATCGGATGAGCCGATTGTCATCTCATCAGGCACACCGACACAACACGGCAACGTGGGACAACGATCAACCGCAGCCAGTGATGGCGCCGCCCAATCAATGTCTGGCATGGAGAGGAACAGGGCTGCACCAAGCACGAGCGGACCTCGCAAAGCCCGTCGTCACGTTGTATTTGTGGCAACGATCGGCAACAACGACATCATCGTGCCAATGCCGCTCAAACTACAGCGCCCGCCCTGTTTCGACCTGAGCCAACGTGGAGGTCCGACGGTTCAAACGTGGGTCTTCACGATGAACGTCTTCTTCGACGCGAATTACGTCGAGTCGGACGCAGCGATGATACGATATGCCATCTCGCTCCGACGGGGCTCCGCCATGGATTGGTGGCAAGTCATCGCGACGTCGCCACGCGCCTACGAGCCGCCGTCGCAAGAGGGAGAGCCCACGGGTCCAGCCGTCACCTGAAGTTCGTTCTGCAAAACCGCCCAGTACAGCACGTGGGATGCGTGGTGTGCAGGGCTTTGGGCGCACTTCGAGCCGATCGCGACTTCTATTTCGGCGCGTCAGAGACTGCGTACTTGGCGACAACTTGGGTCGGTCCAAGACTACACGAGCGGTTTTCTCACACTGTGCGAGCAAGTCGGCTACATGCACGAGGCGGAGCGGGTGGACCTTTACGTCGGAGGGCTGAAGCTGGACATGCCGCACAAAATCATGCTATGCAGGCTATCGAATTTCAACGAAATCCTTGCGCTCGCCGAGAAAATGGGCATTCTACGCCGTCCGAGACCGGGGTCCTACTACGGACATCGCCCTCGGGGACCGACCGAGCACGCCACCGTACACGCTGTTGCGGCGAATGCAGCTGCTGCGCCATTTCAGGGGCGCTGCTTCGCTTGCAACAGGCCGGATCATCGCAAGAGTGAATGCCCAGAGGAGCAGAGACGCCGAGGAGTAGAGCAGGGGAGGGAGTCTCAGAGGCAGGGAAACGCCAGCAGTCAGTAGAAAACGGGCCAACTACTGACGAGACAACCTGCTCGCCCAACCTCACCGCTCACCGAGTCACAGTACCGATTAACGCCATCGATCGGGCTCGGATGAATAAGGAGGGTACAGTGACGGATTGCCCAATACTGATGTACGGGAAAACACAGGGGACAGCAGTGAAGATTTTTATAGACGGAGGAGCAAGCCACAGCTTTGTTAATGCCGCAACTGCACGGAATCTGAAACTGACGTTTAGCCGCTGTTTATCGGAGATTGACGCACGCTTAGTTGACGGCACGCCACTGGCAATAAGGGAGAAAGTGGAGAGGGTGAAAGTTCGTTGCGGGGGGAACTTCGGGTTTACACAGGAAATGCTCGCGACGACATTGGATGGGCACGATATTTTACTGGGTAGCTGCACTGTGCGAAGTAGTGGTAATTGGGTCGAATTACCTCGCTGGCAGTCATCCGAGTCTTTGACGGTCTACGTCAACGCCATCATGATGAAACGGGCTGTCGCCGCTGGAGCTGACGTCTACGCGGTGGATATAGCAGTGGTATGAGAAGCAGAGAAGCCGAGCGATTTTCAGAAACTGCTGACAGCGGTACCGCCTGAGCTACATGAACTGTTGAAACGGTACCCGGGGATTTTTATGGACGACTTACCTGAGGGACTGCCACCCCAGCGAGTGCACGACCACCACAGCCAACCGTACAGCGACAGTTCAGACTGACACAGCCCGAGCTCGACGAAATGAGGAAGCAGTTACATTACATGTTAGAGAAAAAAATCATACGGCCGAGCTCGTCACCGTTCGCCGCACCGATACTGTTCACACCGATAAAATACTGAGGGTTACGCATGTGTATCAATTACAGAGCACTGAACAGGGTAACAGTCAAATCGCGATACCCCATTCCCCGCGCCGACAAACTGATAGATCAACTGCGAACAACACGGGTCTTTTCGAAAATAGATCTACAATGAGGTTACCATCAGATTCGGGTTGAACCATCGGACTGCGCCAAGACGGCATTTAAGACTAGGTACGGGTCATTCGAGTACACCGTGATGCCATTCGGGCTGACCAACGCAAAGGCAAAATTTTAGATGACCATGAACGAGGCGTTTAGGCCACTTCTAGATAAATGCGTGATAGTTTACCTCGACGACATCCTTGTCTACAGTCGTGATATGCAGCAGCACTTAGCAGATCTGGAAGCAGTGTTTAAAAATTTAGACGAGCACCGACTACTGACCAAGGGTTCCAAGTGCGAGTTTTTTTCACGATAGGTTAGAATTTTTTTGGCACGTTATTTCGGAGGCTGGAGTCGAGATTGACCCAGAGAAGCTGGACACGGTAAAAGCGTGGCACCCCCCGACAAATATCACAGAGCTGCAGAGTTTTTTAGGGTTTGTCAATTATGTGCGTCGGTTCGTCCCCGACATGGCACGGTTAACGGCACCACTGACGGATCTGCTGCGAAAGGGGGTCACTTTTACGTGGGGGGAGAAAGAGCACGCTGCCTTCTCTGCCCTGAAAAATGCTCTCTGTTCACCGCCCGTCCCGCGCATTGCCGATCCCCACCGCCCATTCGAAGTGGTTACCGACGCAAGCGACATTGCCATCGGAGCCGTACTGCTACAGGATTTCGGCAACAGCTTACAGCCCATCGCATATGAGTCACGAAAACTGCATCCGCCCGAGAAATTTCACCCGATACACGACCGCGAAATGCTTGCGATCGTGCACGCCTTCAAGGTCTGGCGCTGTTACTTGACCGGCGCAGACGTGACAGTACGGACAGACCACAAATCGCTACAGTACCTCCGCGCATAGCCCCACCTCAACCCACGACAGATTCGCTGGCTCGATTTCCTCGAGTCAAACTTCCACTACACGGTCACCTACAAAAATGGGGCATCAAACATCGCTGATGCACTGACCCGCCCCACTGCCCAAATCCACGCCATACTACTCGCCCAGACCAGCCCACTACTTACAGAACTATTTACCCACGGCTACCAAACAGACCCGTTCTTCACCGGAGGAAACTCGCAGCAGTTCGCAGCAGCAAAAGGGGTGTATTACGTAAATGCCGG